CCCCCCCCCCATAGCTGCCCTGCCCAGGCCAACTCTGGCCCTTTAAGAAGAAAAAAAGAGAAAAGCCCCAGGACTCAGCGCTCCTGCAGCAGCTTCGGGGGGCAGCAGGGATCACCCCCACCCCCCAGCAGGAGCAGCAAGTGTGGGGTTTTCTTGGGGGTTTTTTTTTTTATTTCTTAAAGGACCAGAGCTGGCCTGGGCGGGGCACCTTTGGGGGGGCTAGGGGAGTGAGGGCGATGCTTGCCCATGCAGCGTGGGGCAGTGGGGGGAAACACCCACTGAGCTGGGGCTTTTTTCCCCCCCCCGAAAGAGCAGGGAGCTGGGGTGGGTGGGACAGTCATTGCTGGGCTGGCGGGGATGGGCCTGGCTGATTCGGAGATTGGGCAGGAGCCGACTCTCCAAAATCGGATTCATCTGAATTGATTTGGGACAGTGATACGACTCACCGAATTGAATCACTGTCCCCTGAATCGGCCGAATCCAAAGCGAATACTAGCCACTTTGCACAGGCCTACTGTTTAGTAGTCTCATAAGTGTCCCATGACCTCAGCATCACAAAGTACTGATCCCCCCTCAGTATATGTTCAGCTCTTGTACATTAGCTAGAATGCTGGTTCACTAGGTTGAGTCATACACTTGACCTGTTTGAAATGTTCAACACGAGATGCTTGCTGAAGAGCTGCCTAATTAGCTCCGCAGCAAACCATCACCACCTAGACAAGTGATACTATTAGGCCAGAGTAAAGTAATTAACTCTGTGATAGGACAGTACTGCACAACACAGGTACTATTATACAGTAGAGATATTTAGTGTGCCAGGTGTAGATAGTGATCAGAGCTGGCTGGGTCACGAGGGTCCAACAGTTCAGAACTGCCTGCTAGTTAGCCCCTCTGCAGCAAGGTGAGACAAGCAGGAGCTGCCCCAGGGTAGCAGGCTGAGCCCCTGGGCTGCCTGCCAGCCAGGACAGCACCACCCTGGTTTCAGCATGCTGTAGTCCCGCACAAACATGTAAATGCTGCACCCAGGAGCAATAAACTCCAGTGCAAATGGTGCCCGAGTTTACTGCATCAAACTAATTTCACATGTAGACGTGCACAATAAGTTGAACATCCCAAACAGCTTTTGTAGTTTCCGTCTTTGATCTTGCCCATCACTTAGATGGGCACTGCCATTAATAACACATACAAAACATGCAATATCTGAGGCAACAGTGAGTTGGAAGGGAACGTGTTTCAGAAGGGAGTTTAGAGGAGTTTTAAGGCCAGTCTTGCATCACAGTTCCATTACTTGAAGCGACTCAGGAAAAGGGTGAACCTGAACTATATCCCAAGCACTCCTGTCACATTTATAGTATGTTCCCTTGAGTGCTTTCAGATTCTCGTATACATAGCAAGCTATAGAAGCACAAAGCAATATTTAAAAACACACCAAACTGAGCAAAGCTGTGAGAAAAAAGGTCTGTTGCTATTTTCACCTTGTTCTTCCTTGACTTTTCCAGCACTCTTCATATTTGGGGGTCCACTGGACTTTCCTCCCACAGTTGTCTCCATGTTCTCCTGCTTCACCTCTGCACCCCAGGATGAGAGCCCATGTACGGACAGCAGTTCCCGAAAGCCTTTGCTAGAGGATTTCACATCCTTGAGAAACTCTTCTGAAACCACTCGGACTTTTGCCTCTTTCACTTCTTCCATCTTCTTGTTCATTTTCTCAACTTCCTCTGTTAAGAAAAGGAGGGGGAGGAAGGAGGAAAGGGATAAAGAGCAGTTCTAAGTTCTTTAAAGCAAACACAAAAGAAAGCACATAGCCCTGTCTAAAGGACTCCAAGCACAGCCTCACTGTTGAAAGTCAAGGTATTCTAATGTTATAAAGCACTCTGAAGTGTAGTTCTCCATATACCACACCCTGCCCTATACCTGGGCTACCTTATTTTACATTTCTTTTCAAGCCCTGCCTCACCTCTCAGCTGAGGCAGGGCCTAGGCGGGAGGTGACCTCAAGACACCTGTGGTAGCACAGGCAACAGCACCCCAGACACACTCCCCCTGCACAGATGTGAACATTTCCCCCCTGGCAATGACTGCACCTTTGAAGTGACTGGGAATTTTGCAGGTGACCATGAGAATAGCATCATGGCCTGAGCCCCCAAGCTTAGGCACCAGCTGGAACAAATGCCTGGTGAATGCTTGGAGGGGAAGTCATCAGGGAAGGAGAGAGGGTGCTGCTGACAGCTCTTGCTGCTTCCCTAAAGCAGCCAATGGAAGGATTCTGTAGTTCCAAGAAGCTTCAGCTCCCTTGCCCTGACCTATGGCACATTTTTCTCTCTGTTCCACCTAATCTTTGGGGTGACCATGCCCCAGGACAGTCCCAAATTTTGAAGACCAGTTCTTGCTGGTCAGCGAAAATTAAATCAAATGTCCCAGAATCGCAGGGGTATGGTGAGTAGCATGGTGCGCAGGGGATGCAGAGTAGCATGGTGCGCCAGGCAGTTCAGCTCCGCTTCTTTGGCAGACTGCATCTACACTTCTGCCCATCAGCCTTTACTACTACCCTCAGCAGTGCTGAGGGTTGGGGAGCAGTGTCCCAGCTGTCCCAGTTTTCCTTACGGTCACGCTATCTGCCTGCCCCTTCCTTGCTCCTGTCCTCTACCCCAGATAGTCACACTCTCAACTATTCACAGGATGAAACACTACTTTCCCTGCAGCCTTTTACAAGAGCAGCTGGTGGCAATCCTAGATCCTCACCAGATCTACTCAACGCTGGTAAAACAGACCCTTTTGAACAAAAGGTGCACGTTGTTTCCTCCTTCTGCACACTCCAACAGCTTTACAAGGAAGCAGAAGAGGGAAGCAACCCTTTACACAGAGGCAGTCAGTTGAGAGGATATCAAGGATGGTAGAAACAAGGCACACCGAGCCTCTGCCTCAACTGAAGAGCAGTCTTGCAAGGCTTGCCATATTTACTCAAAAAGAAAGTGATCCAATCATAAGACGACCCCTGAATAATTAGATTCCATATATGGAATTTAGTTATACTTTTCCAGGTATGAAATCCATTTATTGGATGTTTGCCTTGAATTTGTCCCCTTCCCACTTCTACAGCACGGAAAATAAATCTAGGGGGTCAGGTATCCCTTTGCTCTCTGCTTCTCCCCAACTTTTACCCCTGGCAGCTCCTTCCCCCTCTCCTTACTGGCAGACCCTGCTCTCCAAGTACATGGAAGCAAGGAGCAAATTTGAAAACAATAACCTTGAAATTAAACATGGATGCCACAATTTGTATATAGCACACCGGTATTAATTTATTCAGAATTGATGCATATTACCTTTTTTTGAAACAGCAGCAAGTTTCAGCACAGGTACTCCATAAACACACTTCTGAGCAGCACTTTGGTACCTACTTATACGTAGCCCAAAGTACACACGATATTATTATTCCAAAGCCAAAGGCTCATGATTTACCACATAGTTCATGGGGCTGGGCATTACCAGGGTCAACAGCAATCCAAGCCATGGTGACCCTACAGCTCAGCAGTGCTCAGTGTGTGTGTGCGCACTCTAGATACACCCCCATAAAAGGATCCATGTGCTAATTAGCACTCCATTCATGACTGGAACTGGGTGTTCTTATGACCAGTGCTGGGATGCACCAAAAATTTATATGCAGATGAAGTGCAGGGCACCCTGGTCTGGCTTTACCTCATGGAGGGCAGGGCCAAACTAATCATGTGCCAGGCTGAGAAAGGGGGTGACAGAGATTCTGGATGAACTGTATGCAATGTTGTGGCTCACCATGACTCAAAAAGAGTCAATGGTAATGGGGACTGCACTTAGTAGACACTACCATATATATTATTCAGATGGGCTATGCTAACCTATTCTTGTGATAGGTTCCCATTAGCATGTTTGCCTAAAGATGGGTCACGTGTTTTGTAGTCAGAATGAGGCAAACTGAAATCTGCCTGACACAGGACAGGCTCTCAATTCATGCAGTCTTCCTGCATCGCAGTGTTGCCCTCTGCTGAATTTACTGCCCATGCATACACAAGCAAAAGGGAACACAAGTCAACAGCTTTTCCCAAAGGTATGTTCTGTTTAGCTTTTGATAAAAATCATGCATTTTTAGTCCCATTTGCAGAGGCACTCGCCAGTTAAGCAACCAGAAAGTGAAACTGGAGCATTAGAGAAGGGAGTGCTCGCCCAGTTCATTTGTGTATTGAGTTAACACTGGAATTGGCACAATGAGACTCCAAAACAAAGCCATCAAGTAATAATGCCACAATCCAGTCTACACAGAGGTAATATCTACAACGAAGCTTCCTCAGCTACCCAGTTACTCTATAGGAGTCCCTTCACACAGTTAAAACACGCTTTAGCAGCCTTTAAAATCCACACCAAGGAATTCACCTGCTGCAATCAAGTTTCAGAAACAAATTGGTACTGAAATCTGTTAAATGTTATCATAAGGACCCACACCACACTTGTCACAGAACCCCTGGTTTCCCTATGCCTTGGACTGCAAGCCACAGACTACAAAACACACTGATGAACACTGGGACTCGAATTCTATCTTGGTAGAAATAGGTTCACTTGAACAGACCCCTGCTACGGGGCATCAGCAAATGCTTGGGAACCATTCAGAATTAGAAGCACTGCATAAGAAAATTTTTTCATGAATATGGAAACATGCATTATATTCCATGAATAAAGACAACCACCCCAGGTCCTCATTCAGTGCCTTATCCCCTCTGTGATCTAATTCCTCTCCATGTCCAAGGATGACAGTAATATTGCATGTTTGCTCACTTTGTGTGCTGATACACAGGTTGGCCTTATTGGCAGTTCCTGTCACTTTTCCTCCAAGCTCCTCAACTGTGGTCTTCATTTCTTCTTTGTTCCTGGATAATTTTCCAAGTATCAAAATCTTCATGTTGGATAATGGCTTATCTAGTTGTTTGGAAACAAAAACATCACATAAGAAAAGAGCATGTTCACACTGCTGGAGAAAGCACGTCATACGAAGGAAAAGAAGCCTGCTAAATCCAAAGTACAGCATGTCAACAGGGTAGCTAAAATGCATTAAGCAACTGTTGGAACAGTTTATCTCCCCTAGAAAAGGTGGCATAAAATTCAGCATTACCTCATATACAATAGGTTTCCTGGGGGAAGGGACCAGAAAAAAAAAAATGGAGAGGGTTTCAGATCAAGGCCATGTCCACAAAAACTAGAAACTGCTGGCACTTTCTTTTTTACTTGTAGAGTAAAGGCAAGAGCCAAGGGGAAAAAAGAGAGAATCAGAAAAGCCACAAAGATCATTTCCTCATAAGAAAACATTTCTTGGAGGAGTTAGGAGAACTCCAACATGTTACAGCTAGGCTTGGAAGGATTAAATTTTCATCACTAAACACTGATTTCATCTGTCACTCTGAGACGAACAGAAATATTTCCATCAGTAATCACTGAAATTTAGAGAAAGGGGATTTAAACCAAATAAATCAATCTGGGCCAGGGGGTACCCCACAAGCATGCACATGCACAGGCCACAGTGGGGACGCCTGGCTGTGCCACCTGCACACTGCTCCTCTGGCAGCAGCTCAGGCAGCTGCTGCAGGAGCTTGGGGCCATGCTGGGAAGTGGGGTTGAAGAGGCAGGTCTGCTGCAGCTTGGAGCTTGGTGATACAGGCTGCTTGCTCCACCCAGGTCCCAGCCAAGGACTGGTCACCAAACTCCTGATGAGCACAGCCTGGCCTACATGATCAGGGCTCACCAAAAGTTGGGCCCCTGCCATGATCTCACATGGGCTAGACCAGGCAGGAGCTCTGGGAACATAGGGAGAGGCAGCAGCCACCTAGCCTGGTGTGGGAAGCAGCTCCCTATGGCCCTTTAGGGGGCAAGCCCTGCCTGGCAGGCACCAGCACAGGGGTGGACTGGCCCTTTGATGGCCAGAGCTTCCTGCCTCTTTGGGCAGCACAGGGACAGCAGCTGGGCCCCGGAGGGCACCCCCCATGGATCCTGGCCTGATCATGCTGCCCCTCCAGTGGTGCCTGCCAGGCAGCGTTTGCCCTCTAAGGGGTCACAGGGAGCTTCTTCCTGCCCTGGGGTGGGCAGCCAGTGCCCTCCCCACATGTTCCCAGATCTCCAGAGCACAACTGCCTCCTCTTCTGCTCCCTCCCCACCCAGCTCTTTTCTGAGAATGAACTGAATGATCTAAAGCAGGTGCGCTTTATTGATTTATGGATATTTAGTTTTATATATTTTAACATGTGATTTTTTTAAGCTTTTGATAGTATACTGTAATTGCTAAATTGTCTGTCCCCTACACCCTTAATTTTGTGCAAGTCTGATGAAAATTATAACTCCCCCCCCACCCCAAAAAAACCTCCCCGAAGGAAATGCTTAAAAATAAAAACAAAATACCTCTGCCATCTCACTCTTCACTTCCACACTCATAAGAGTCCAAAGTGAATGTACTTTGGCTCTAATGAATCAACAGAAATGCGTTCCTGGGCACACAAGTCCCTTTGCCCTGAACTTTTACCTGTGGGTGCAGATGCCTCCTCTGTCAAAGGAGCAGAAGCTGCAGATGGAAGCACAGTGTTCACAACAGCAGCCTCTGGAGGGAATACTCTGTCCTGCTTTTTACACTTGAATTTCTTTAGGTAAGGGATTTCCCGGAATTCCTGCAGGGCAAAAGCAGAACCATTTAAAACGGATATATTGTCTAGACCTTGGCACTTAGGAGAGATTTCACAGCAGGTTACAATCAATTTATTAAACCCTTGTCTATATCGCACAGTTCTGCTGACAGAACTAAGTCAATTCGGGGCGTGAAAAGATTATATCCCTTTGTCAATGCAACTTTGCTGACTAAGCCTCCAGTGCAGATACAGCTTTGCCAAAAGGAGGTGGCATCTTCCTGCAGAGCTTGTGTTGTTTGGGCAGGGTTACCATATTTCCAAGATCCAAAACAAGGACACCTGTGGGGGGAAGGGCGGGGGAAGGGCAGTGATATGGATATGCCTAAGTCTCTGCCCATCACTCCTAAGCCCCTGCCCTCCTCACTCCCAACGCACAGCCCTCCCGGTGTCCCTTGCTCCTGACCTAGAGCCCCCTGTTGCTCCAGCCCTGCTGTGCATACAGCTCCCACGCACACACACTTGCCGGGCCCTTGCACAGAGCACACGAGCCCTGACAGCCAATCACCTTGCCCGCTGCTCTCAGCCCCAAGCATCCGAGCAGCTAATGCCTGGGAAAAGCCAGAGGCAGAGCAAAAGCCTGGACATTTGCTCTCATTTTAAAAACCAGCCTGGACACAAGGACAAGGGACCCAAAAAGAGGACATGTCAGGGAAAACCCAGACGTATGGTAACCCTAGTTGGGGCAGCTGAAAAAGACATAGCTCTAGTAGCAGGAAAAAAGTCTGATATTGTTGTCAACAGAGTTGCATCCCTATTGAAGACCTGGCTGCCATAGTTTAAAGCAGCAGTTCTCTCTATACTGGAGACAAAAGCTAAATAAGCTTTTTATTTACAACATCCCACATAGGTTACTGATTAGGAAACTGATGTACAAAGAGGTTAAACAGCTTGCTCAATATCAAACAGCAAGTCAGTTGCAATCAAGAATAAAACTGGGAATCCCAGTCCTTCCCAATCCCTGCCAGACAATACTGCTCCCCTCTAGCTAAGAATCTAAGCCCCTAGAAATATTTGTTTTAAAAATCATGGAGAGAGAGAGAGAGATGTAAAACGGAGGAAGAATCCTGGTTTTCCAGTCAGGTGGTATTTCAATCACCTTTGACATTTCTGCCTTGATGCTGGTTGCCAGTAAAGACAATTTAGTTAAGAAACAAAAAGCCAGGACTTTTGTTTTGGTTCTCTTACTCTTTTCAGAATACCAATAATTAAATATCACAAACACATTTTCTGCAAAAGTTTTTCCCCAATTCAGGGGGAACTATTTGTTTATTTCAGAAAGACAATCCAGGCTGTAATTTTCAAATTCTGATATTAATATCTGAACTTCTGGGAGCAAAGTTATTAAGATCCTCTCAGATTAGTCAGAAAGGAAGAGATAAAAAACAGCAAGATGAGCCAGCCATTATGAATTAAATTAACCTTCAGCCTCAACCCACAAGTAATATACAGTATGGTAACTTAAGTTCTGCTGCAATGGAAGGGCAAATTGGAAATGCCTGAATTATCAGAAAAGAAGAAATAGTACTTCCCAATCTACTGGGACTGGAAAATGTGATTCTCCTTACCCCACATATATTACTTATCAGCAACTCTTCCCATCCTCATAGGCACAGAGATGTGCAGAAGCTGAAGCAGGCCCTGACCTCTGATATTTCTCTGTCTGTAACATTTGCCATAGACTTTTATTTTTTGTTTCCACAACCACTTAAGTCATTTAAGAATTGAGAAGGGTTTCAGGCCAAGTTCGCAGCACTTACCTTTGGGATAACCCATTCTTTCCTGTTGGGAGACTGTGTTTTGGCAACACATTTAGTCCAGGCAGTAATGTCTCCTGAACAGTAATACGCATCACTCTTGAACATGAACTGCCCCTTGCACTCTTCACAGGGAAGCAGAGCTCCAAATGCCATCCCATCTGCCACTCTGTCCAAGATCTTAAAACAACAAAGAGGCTAACAAATCACATTAGAAAAGGAAGCGTGCACACACACAGTCAGACAATACAGAAAATTCACAGATGCCGTAAAACACTGGTGTAAAGATGAAAAGTGTTACTTGTCAAATCTTCTTCTTGAATATGAATTAAGAAGCTTCTCAGAACTACTTGATCCACAAAGCCTTGACACCACATGCCACTAAGTTTGTGCTATACCCTTTGGATTGTGCTCTCTGGAGCAAGGGCACATTGTCAGAAACACAAAACAGAATTTTTCACAGAATGCTAAGCATGTGCACTGTGGAAGAATTTAATTATGCTGTAGGAGGAC